CAAATGGATGTGGATTATTTGAATAGAATATGGATAAAAAGATAGAAATGAGGATTGAAATTGATTAACAATGGTTAATGGTAATTTTGAATGGTGAGGGAATAGATAACCGAATGTATGAACTCAATCTAGCACTTGTGACTTGCACTTTAGCTTTCATGAAATCCATACATCAATTCTTTGACAAATCAAGACGCCTACAAACTCTGTTGCCAATCCTTTTGAATAACTTGAACCCAGCAACTTCAAATGAACATCTGAATGAACAAACCACCGAAGTCCTCAACTCTCCAGAAAAACCACCTTGAATTCTCAATGAAAATCTCTTATCCTAATGAGAAATAAGCTCTGATCCTGAGCTAACTGGAGATACGTTTGCCAACCAACTTGAACCCAAAAACTGATGAAACCCTAGGCCCTTGATGCCTGACAACTCTTGAAGGAAGTAAGCTTAATAATTGACGATCTGATCTAGAGAAAACTCCTGATCCCATGTCTTAGAAGACCAATGTGAAGTATGATAATGATGATGCAAATGAGCGCGAAGCAAAAGCCATCCAAAATTAGAAAAATGAGAGGGCAAATTTTGGGGTGCAACACTTACCACATGATCCAATTTCACAAAATTACTTACATTTTGGCCCTCATGCTAAAATTAGTGGCGTTTCAAAACGACACCACTTGTGACAACAATAGGTCGTGTTAAATTGCCACATTACTACGTTGTTTGCAACAAAATCAGTTTGTCAGGGAAAATGCTTCTGATAGACCCTAAAATATTTTAATTAAAATTGGAATTTATTGGTGGATTCATCTTTGACACGAGAAGTGATGTTACGTTTTTAGTCGAGAGTGCGTATAAAGTGTTGAAAGAGAATATAATTGTTTATTTTAACGAAAAGTACGGTTTGCGTCCGTTTACAAGTCGAAAGAAAATGGCTTTTGATATTTGTTATCTCAATGCTCCAAACAATATTGTGAAGCCTACAATTACATACCATTTTGAAGGAGGTGCTGATTTTGTGGTCGATTCTAAGTCAGTGTTTATGTCTCTTGATGCACCAGAGGGGAAAGTGTTATATTTGACTGTGGTAGTGGTGGATACTATACGGTTAGGGGTGTTTGAAAAAAATCCATAGAACCGTACTGAACTATAGAACAAAACTGAACAATTATTAAATAATCAAACCGTTATCTCTGGTTCATGAACTGAACCACAATTAACCAAATCGAACCGTAATTAACCGAACTGCAATTAACTAACTATATTTATAACACGATATTTACTTGATTGTGGAACTTGGTTTATATTTTCTCTACATTGATTTTTTAGCATTAAAATTTATTTAAAATATTAAAATTTAATTATTTTTTAAATCAAAAATATTTTGAACGATAATAATATTTAATTTTTTTAATGGGTGATAAATGTGATAAAAAATTGACCGAACATTCAATCAATTATGTAAAAGAAAAATAATTTTTTATCTAGATATTCAAAATATAAATAATAAAATAAAATTAATGCTAATAAGCAAGAATAAAAATGTTGTTTTGAAAAAAATGGAGTTTAGAATATTCTAACTATATAACTATAAAACAAGTAACAGAAGATATGAGTAATCAAGCAGGCAAGAATATCGTATAAATGAAATGTTATTGGTTGGTTTTGAAAAATGTCATTAAAATTAAATGTTATTATTACATAGTGAGGTTTGAAAAAATTTTTTTTTTTACCTTTAACATTATACATTAAAATGAAATGGTCCAATCCACTTCTGCTCCCAAAACGATTCAATTATCTAAGTCCAGTCAATTTAGGACAACATTTACCTTTCTTCCCCTCCATCGGGGAAGGTTGGTCGGTTGACCTCTAAGATTAGCTGCCTCTCCTTAGCGGTTCATATCCGTCGCGCACGGTTCCACCATCCAAAAACAATTATGACGTTTGTGCCTGCTACTGCGCTTATGCCCGTGGCAATGACTAGTTTTAGACACCTCTGCCCGTTCTAACGACTAGTTTCGGGTAGTTACCTATTCTTCAGGGAACAATTATCTCGCCCCGAAAATAGGGACCAATGGCTCAGCGCTGGGGGCACTATAAGAACTCTCTCATTGGAAAGGGTCAAATATTCAATATTCATCCTAAGACACACATATTCTGCACTTGCCCTATTTTCTCCCGATTTTTACTTTAGCATCAGAGTGCCTTGCAGGTACACCCCCCTCATCTCTCACACCCAGCATCACATGCATTGTCTCTGTCCCACTTCAGGTTCTGATCAGCCGTCAAGAACACACACACACACACACACACACACACACACACACACACACACACACACACACACACACACACACACACACACACACACACACACACACACATATATATATATATATATATATATATATATATATATATATATATTCATAAAACTACAATGTAATGAAGAAAACCACGACTCTTCTATTTATAGATTTTTAAGCACTTAGGCCACATAGGACAATGAAAGTTCAAATAGTAACTAATCTTTGTTTGATGACACAACACTAGTGAAGAGAATTGAAAGTAAGTGATTTAGAATCATATTCATTGCCATATTCTAATTAGTTGTCTAAAACTTTACATGAAACACATGTTGAAGTCTTAAATGCTTTTAAAAAATGTTATCTCTAAAAGAAAATAATTTTAAAAATTGTGGGAGAAATCTTAAAATTTAAAAGTGTTTTAGAATCTTTGAAAGATGATCATGCATTTTTTATTAATGATTAGTTCTCTATCTCTAACACCTTAAAAGAAAATATAATTGTAATTGATTGTGATACTTGTTCTAATTTAAAACTTGAAAATAATAAATTAAAAATATAATTAACACAACTCTATAATTAAAAAGTATTTCTTCAATTAGTACAAGTGCTACGTTTTAAAACACCTAATAAAGAAAATGTCTATGTTGTTACTTACTCACTCGTTTGATAATAGTAATAGGAGTTTCATTCTCCTAATAACATAAGTTCTAGACCATTCAAACATACGAAAAATCGAAACAAACAATCATTCCCCGAGTCTGACGCACCATCCATATTATCGATAACTATCATAGTCTTGTTTTTCGTAGTATGAACCTTCTTTTTCTTCCTGAATCCACCCATTAGAACTAACCTCTGATTTAGATTCCGATGACTCTAAAGATGAGGCTGATCCCACAGGTATGCAAATCCTCAAGGGGCCGTGTGAGTTCTCCACCACATTGAGTCCAAAGACATCTCCATTGATTTGAACGATAAATGATTCGTTAAGAACCATGAAAAATTTAGTTCTCACTAAGATTCTTGCTACATCCTTTTTGGTTTGCTCCCTAGTTCCATCATCAGAACACATAAATTTCCACCGGCTTAGTGATAAATTCAAAACAAAGTTGGATTCCAAGTGTGGCAAGGTACTCCACAAATCCACAACCATGTGACTCTTTCTATATCAACATCTTTATAGTTCCATTTTCGATCTCCTTAAGCCATTGCCTTAACCAAATGCCTCCATTTTCCATCAACGGTGTGAGTTCTTCCTCTTCTCTTTCTTTAACTAAACATAAGCTTACACCCCGCGGTGTCGCTTTGGTCGCAAAGTAACCTTCCGTGTTAAAATTGTCCTGAATATTATAGGTCATGCATGAATTCTCAACTACCACAACAAATTCTCTATTGAACATGAGTAACTCGTCTCTATCTTATACATTGAACTACAAATGAGAAAAGGTAGCTTCCCTAACATTTGAAGGTTTGTTATGATGTCCTTACACTCATTTGTGTCAAGAATAATAAATGTGAGTTGAAAATTTTAAGAAATAAAGCGCGGGAAAGTCTCACATTAATTAGAAAAAATGGAGATTTAAGTATTTATAAGTGGGACAATCCACACACCTATCACTTTAAAGTTTTGAGTGAGTATGTAGTGTATTTCTCACAAGGTGTGATGCTTATAAAGAAAGGCCTCAATATAAATCTCCATCGTATTAACTCCCAAAGATTGATGACCCTTACAATCTGACATTGATTATTTGTTGTTATTCTTAAGCACATGGACATATGCCTCATAATAGCTGATTCCCTAATACCAGATTCATCGAACTGTTTGAAATGCTTGTGGCTCGATTTGAAAGCTTTTGTTCTAATTTGATTCACCGGTATTTAAGTTTTTGTGTTGCCTTTGATTCTTGGAGTCTCCACCAACCTCTTCTTTCAAACCTTGGTAAGTTTACAAATATCGTCTAGATGCCAATGAATATATTATCAGCTTGGTTGCTAACATATTTTTTTCTTTACATTAAAAAGCGTGACAAAATTTTATATATTTTTTTTTGCAAATATCTCACTTTGATGGAATGATCACCTCATCAATCTCTTCAAATTTCTTAAATTCTTCATTCATTTCTAACTCTTTACTCATCTAAAATAAAAATTCTTGTTAACGATTAGCAGTGTATTTCTAACACATTAGAAAAAAAATAATTCTAGTTGAATAAGATATTTGTCCTAATCAAAAACTTAAAAATGATACCTTAAAAAGACAATTAACACAACTCTGCAAATCATCTAGTATTCCTTCTATAATAAATCCAATCGAGTATTACCTGAAGGAAAAAGTTTTAGAAAGCTAGTAATAAAATGGTTATGTTGTTACAATGTTATTTACTCGTTCCATAGTGGTAGTAGGCGTTTCATTCTCCAAATAACAAAAGTTCTAGACCATTCTAGCATACGACAAATCAAGACAAACGCCCATTACAATCCAACGGTTGAAACTAAACAGAACCTTCAAGATCAAATCCCATTCATCCTCGTTCACTTCTCCTTCCACAAATAAAAGGCCTCATCTCACCCTTCTCATTCAACAACTACTTCACCCAAAAACTAACACAGTCTCTCTCGTTCGTTATCCAAAACCAACAACACTTCTTAAACCCTAACCTCCTCAATTCCATTCCCATTCCACAACCATGGCATCAACCTTCTCAGCAACAACCTCCTCTTGCAACCTCTCCTCTTCCGCCGCCATTTCCTCCTTCCCCTTGGCCGCCGGCAAGAGAAATGCAAACAAAGTCGTTCTCCCGAGGAAGAATCGCAACGTTAAGGTCTCTGCCATGGCGAAGGAGTTGCATTTCAACAAAGATGGTTCCGCTATTAAGAAACTTCAGGTTTGAAATGATTGTTAAAACTTAAAACGACGGTGAATTCAGCGTTTTGGCGTTTATGTGATTTTTGTAATGTTTTTGTTGTTGTTGTTGTAGAATGGTGTAAACAAGCTTGCGGATCTTGTTGGGGTTACGCTTGGTCCTAAAGGAAGGAATGTTGTTCTTGAGAGCAAGTATGGTTCACCTAAAATTGTTAATGATGGTGTCACCGTTGCTAAAGAGGTGCGTCTTTGAAGTTTATTTTCAATCTCTTTATGTTTTATGTATTTTTGAATAATTTGTGAGTTTAGTTTATAAGAATTTTACTTAATTTTTATGTTTATTTGATTGTGAGTTTAAGTTCTATGAATTTTACTTAATTATCATTTTTATCTGATTAGACGAGTTTAAGTTTTATGATTTTTAATTAGTTTTCATGTTAATGTGATTGTACGAGTTCAGCTCTGTTATTATTACTTGATTTTAACGTTTAAGTGATTTTATGAGTTTAGGTTCTAAGAATTTACTTAACTTTAATGTTTGAGTAAATTGTAGGAGTTTAGGTTCTAAGAATTTACTTAACTTTAATGTTTGAGTAAATTGTAGGAGTTTAGGTTCTAAGAGTTGACTTTACTTTAATGTTTGAGTAATTTGTATGAGTTTAGGTTCTAAGAGTTGACTTAACTTTTATGTTCAAGTAGTTGTATGAGTTTAGGTCATATGATTTTTTTCTTTCTTAATCTTCATGCTTATGTGATTGTTGTTTTAGTGAGTTATTTATGTGGGTGTTTGTTTTGATGAGTTTTTGTTTTCTATTTGGATTGAAAAGGTTGAGTTGGAGGATCCGGTTGAGAATATTGGTGCCAAGTTGGTGAGACAGGCAGCTGCCAAGACAAATGACTTGGCGGGTGATGGAACCACAACCTCTGTTGTTCTAGCTCAGGGCCTTATTGCAGAAGGTGTAAAGGTAGGTTTCTTAATTTGTGTTAGCTGGTTAGGTATATAGAATGAGTAACTAGTGAGTGGTTGGTTATGTTTGTGTGGTTTATCTTATTGTTAGCAATTGGGGCTTCATTTCATGTTAAACATTGCAGGTTGTTGCAGCTGGTGCAAACCCTGTGCTTATTACTCGTGGCATTGAGAAGACATCCAAAGCTCTTGTAGCTGAGCTTAAAAAGATGTCAAAAGAGGTGAATCATTTACTTCCTGTTCTTCTATGTGTATGCCTGTGTAAACATATTTATTTAGTGGGTTTACTTAAAACTAGCGTGCTTCTTAGCAATTATTTCATTTGTCTTTTTGTTAAGACTTAGAAGAGTTGTGGTTGTGTGGATTGTAGGTTGAAGATAGCGAATTGGCCGATGTGGCAGCAGTCAGTGCTGGGAACAACCATGAGGTTGGAAATATGATAGCTGAAGCATTGAGTAAGGTTGGTAGAAAGGGTGTTGTGACACTTGAAGAGGGAAAGAGTGCTGAGAACAGTTTATATGTTGTTGAGGGGATGCAATTTGACCGTGGTTATATTTCACCCTACTTCGTTACTGACAGTGAGAAAATGTCTGTTGAATTCGAGAACTGCAAGGTGCAACATTTATTTATTTTTCTTCCTGTAACTCGCAACTATTTTAAAGCCCATCGTATGTATTTACTTAAAAAACGTATGTTTGTTATGCAGTTGCTATTAGTTGACAAAAAGATTACCAATGCAAGGGATCTTATTAACATACTAGAGGATGCAATTAGAAGTGGATTTCCTATTGTGATCATTGCGGAGGATATTGAACAAGAAGCTTTAGCAACCCTTGTTGTAAACAAACTTAGAGGATCTTTGAAGATTGCAGCACTCAAGGCCCCTGGGTTTGGAGAACGCAAAAGCCAATACCTTGATGATATTGCCATCTTAACAGGAGGTTTTTAAATTTAATACAATTCATGTCAGATGACTCTGATAGTTTTGTTCAATTTGGAAGTATACATTTCATATTTTTTTGTTTGTGTTCAGCTGTTGATAATAATACGCATCTTCTCAATTCACTTCCAGGTACTGTTATCAGAGAGGAGGTTGGCCTTACCTTAGACAAAGCTGATAAAGAGGTTTTGGGCAATGCTGCCAAGGTGGTCCTCACTAAGGATACAACTACAATTGTTGGTGACGGAAGTACCCAAGAAGCAGTTAATAAGAGAGTTTCTCAAATTAAGAACCAAATTGAGGTTTACTCTCTTTCCCTCCCCTCCCACTCAACATTTGCATTGGATGTGCAAGGTTTCTTTAGAAATATTATACACCAATAATAACTAATGATATACTCTACAAATAAAAATATTTTGGAGTTTAGTAGGACTAATGTACGTAATAATAGGGAGATAGTCAGGTACAGTAGGATCACAATGTATGTGTGCACACATGCACATGACTATCTCATTTAAGGGGAAACTACTTATAGTCTCTTCATAAAATAAGAGCATGGGAGATTGATGCTGTTTGTCGGGCTCTAATGAAATATTTACTCATTATTCAAGGCTGCAGAGCAAGACTATGAAAAGGAAAAGCTAAGTGAAAGAATTGCAAAACTGTCTGGTGGTGTGGCTGTAATACAGGTAATGCGCCCACTGACATTCAATAATATACTAGCTTTAATCATCTCAGCATGTCATATTAAGCTGTGCAAGCTTGTTATATACTCCGTGTGTAGGTTGGTGCACAAACTGAGACAGAACTCAAGGAAAAGAAATTGAGAGTTGAAGATGCTCTTAATGCTACAAAGGTGACATTTATCTTTCCAAAAATGTTTTGTTTAATTATTTTTCTTGTTCTATGAACTCATATTTATTGACTTACAGGCAGCTGTTGAGGAGGGTATTGTAGTTGGTGGTGGTTGCACTTTGCTCAGACTTGCATCAAAAGTGGATGCAATCAAGGATACCCTTGCAAATGATGAAGAAAAAGTGAGTCATTATTTGATATGGCAATACCTCGGTTTTCTTATGTTTTGGGTGCTTGAAAGTATATCATTAGTTAATAATATTCTGATTACGGGCTACTTACAATTGCAATGGTCTGATGCAGGTTGGAGCAGACATTGTTAAAAGAGCTCTTAGTTACCCTCTGAAATTAATAGCTAAGAATGCTGGTGTAAATGGTAGTGTTGTGAGTGAGAAGGTAAGGAAATCACCTTAATTTGGAATACCTGGTTAATCATTTTGCTTGTGCTGATGTAATTTGTGTATTGTATGTATAGGTTCTGTCCAGCGACAATCCAAAATATGGTTACAATGCTGCCACCGGCAAATATGAAGATTTAATGGCTGCTGGGATCATTGATCCAACAAAGGTGATTTATTGTTTGAGTGTTTTTAATTTATCTGCCCTTGAATTTTCAACTATCTTTAGTTGCCTGTCTAATCAATTGAACTGCAGTTTGTTTACTCTTGTATTTTATTCTATTGGGATCTTAGAGTTAGGTTTGAATGTCTAAATCATCGTAAATGATTTGTAAGTAGGTGTTATATGTTAGTTTCAAACTGGTTAGGGTAGTATGCTAGAACATGAAGTTATGGGTGATATAAGTCTAATAAAATAAGCATCTTACTTTTGTGCAGGTGGTCAGATGTTGCCTGGAACATGCATCCTCTGTTGCCAAAACCTTCTTAATGTCAGACTGCGTTGTTGTTGAGATAAAGGAACCTGAATCTGCTCCTGTTGGCAACCCCATGGACAATTCCGGATACGGTATGTAGAGGCGACGGTAGCTACTGCAAGAACATCATTTTTTCGGCGTATTTCTTTGATGTAATACAAAATTCGGTAGCTATCTAATTCATAGCAACAAGTCCCAATCAAAGACGGACTTCTGTAGTGTGGTGAGCTAGATCAGTGACATTTTTGTTTATTGAAATTAATAATTTTAAAAGGTTTTGCAAATCGCTTCTTTGTCCAAATGTGAAAATGAGTTCAGATTGACAAATTTCGAGGATGTAATTTTTAAGAAATTTTAAAGAAATTAGTGGGATCGTAAAAGTAGTTCTCAAACAGTTTGGTTTCCCGGTGAGCTCTAAGTTAACTAATAGACCTAAGTCTAGTCCATAAACTTGAGCCGAAAAGGCCTACATCTACTTTAGAAAAATAAAAGAAAAAGCAGATGATTATTGTTAATAAGGATAAGGGTTTACTTTTATTACACATCATGTTTGTGATCTTTATGAAAGAAAGCACATTCTGAATAGTTTTAGCAATTCTTAATGGCTTTGATGGCTTAATGTATTGTTGATAAAAAGTATGGAAATGAATTCAATAAGGAAAGTTGGCAAGGGTTTAGTAGAATCAGTGGTTTGAGTTCTTGAAGTGATCATTTCAGGTTCTGTGGAAAAATCAAAGATAAAATGCTTGTTGTAGTTTTCTTTTTTTGAAGAGGTATGGATATTTTTTGATGCGGGATTACGCACGTCTGCCCTTACAAACACAACATTAATGTAAATTCATCGAGGAATATCTTTTTTTGAATAATTTATTTTTTAAGAGCGATTTTAACGGTTAAATTAAAATTCTTTATAGTTTATCTTAGTAATAAGGAATTTGTAGACATGAACTAAAATTTTCATTATCTATATATTAATGTTAACTATGTAAAATCTATTATAATATTATTTAATATTAATAAAATATTTTAAATATTTCAATAACATTAAAGTAAGGATATGATATTTGAAAATAGTAACAGTCATATTATTATTTTTTACCTTCTATAAATTCTATAAAAATTTTAATTTTTTTTACACACAGTTTTACTTCTAAATTTTTTCTTTCAATTTCCAATCTTATTTAGTTATCAAATGAATTTCAACCAATCGAATTCTTATTATAATTATATTTCTATGTAATATTTTTTTATGTATTATTGTTGTGAGTTTTGTATCATTTTTAATTTTATAATAAAATATATTTAATATTATTTTAAGTTTTTAAGATAAATTTTATTTAAAAAATTATATGTATTTTAGTTAAAATAATTAAATTAATGGTAACTTGAATAAAAAATAAAAAATATAAAATGTGGGGTCAAGTTTTGGTTTCTTATAGACAACCACTATTAAAGTAAAAACTACTCAAATTAACTATAAAATTTTTAAATCCCACAAATTACTTTGGACCCACAAAAAATATCTTAGTTTATTTATTTAGTTTATTTTCACTAAAGATGCTCTAAGGGAGTGTTAATTTACGTTCAAAAGTTAAATCAAATTAAAAGTTTTGTTAGGCTATTAAGTTGTTCCAGTTTGTAAGTTTAGTTTGTTTAAAGTTTATTTTGATTAGAGATCAATTCAACTTAAAAACTCAACTTGGTTCATGGTTATTTTGGTTAAACCAAAAAAAGAGATTTTAAATCGAGTTTATCTCAAACCAAACTTCTATAAGCTTAACTCATTTTTGTATGTATATTTACTTTTTGTTAAACTCAATTCAGAATTGAAACGAGTTAAGCTTCATCTCTAACTTATTTTTTTAAGTATATTCATTATTTTTCGATCGAACTTCTATAGCTTTAGCAATTCCGAACTTCTATAAGCTTCATCTTTTAGAAATATTTTTTAAAATGCTTTTACATTCTGAAAATGATAAAGAAAAGTTTCAAACTACTTTTTTAAAATCTACCGTGGAGTCATATATTTAACAAGGACAATAGTCTCGTATTTAAAAACTAATTATTTTGGAAAAAAATGACTTTTAATATATATTTTTTAATAAGAGATCTTTTCTAAGTACACTTCTAGTGTTTAATGGTGTTAGGTTTGAATTAATGAAAAATTATATTCAAATTTTTTATTTGAACTATCGATATTGAATTGTAAAAAATACTAATCAACGATCATCTTATCCATACTCATCAAATTGATGGAAAAATAGTAGATAAGTTTTATTTCTTTTGGACCGTAAAGGAAAAGAGAAAATTTAAAATTGATTTTAAAATTATTTATTAGTAATGTCTTTAGATCATAAACTCCTCTATGTTAAAATTACAAATTTAAGAAAATGCGGAATACTCTCAAAATAATATATGGAATTTTTTCAAGTATCGAACAAGAGAAAATGAACAATGAGACGATAAAGATGAATGTTTCATATATAAATGTGTTTTCAAATTTAGACGTTAAAAAATATATTAGAATATTTGTTACTAATAAATATTAAGAGTTAAGAATTGGAAATCCAATACAATCTTCAAATTGAAAAATAAAAGTGGTTATGAATTAATCAAAAAATCAAAGAAGGATGAAAATATAGAAAAGTTGAATGAACTAGTTCAATTGCTTAAAGATGAAGACATAAGTTCAAAGATTAAAAGATCATTTCATCAAACTCCTATCAAGTAACTCACATTCTTTTCTTTGAAAGAACATACTCAATAGTTGAACGATTCTCGGATGATTCAACATTAAATTAAGGAATTTAATCTGTGAGAGGATGTGAAGCAAAACCTCTACAAATGAAGATGAGTCAACCATATAGAGAATCACAGAAGATTCCTCTTTTAACAAAGAAGACAAAGTATGCTTGAAGGTATCTTATGAGAAAGATTGTAACATCTCTAAATTTCAATATTTATATATTAAAATTTATACGACAATCTAAGGTGTCACCAACGATAAAACTTTTAACAAAACATATATTTAACAAATACGCAACAAAAAATATCAATGTCATAAAACACTGCAGAAATGAAGCTATGCAGATCAAAGATACTCGTTGATATATAGTATTTTTTGCTTTGAAGTCTTTGATCCAAAAATGATCGATGATGGTGCATCAACTATGGAGATCAAAGCAAGAGTTTTCGTTGAGAATGATCTCAACATTTCTGATCCATGATCAACTAGCCTTATAGGAGGTTGAGTAGATATGTCACTAACAAACTTATATATCTCATTATTTGACCAAATCTCGTATTCAACAATATGTTGAGTAGGACACACCATGTGTTGGTGTTCCCTTAAAAAAATGAGAAGTTTTACCAAGAATTTTTGATAATTAAGGTAGAATAATATTTTAAAGTTGAAATGATCGGAAAAATTTAATTAATCATTTAAAATAGTGCGTTTAATTTTTTCTCATCAAACTATTTTTTAACTAGATGGATAAGTCTTTAGTCCTTTACAGAAAATAGAGTGTAAATAAATTAGACAGATGTGCAAAAGAGAAAGTCAAAAGCAAATTTAGCACAAGGCCAAAAAAACATCAAGAGGCTGATTCACAAAACTAATCGATTGGAAGACCTTCACGCTCTCCTTTTAAAATCCAATTTGATTGAAAAGTAGCCTCAAAGTCAATTAGATCATCATATTGATGGTAATTGATCAGTATCACTGAAGAATTAATCAATAAACCGATTAGAGCTATAATCCAATCAATTAGGAAGCTAAATTTGGAAAAACTTCACTATGATTTTATTATGCACAATCTCTATCAATTACTTGCAACATTTACATGCTAAAGTTCATCACACACCACACTATAAATAGGTAACCATTCTTCACTTTTTTTTTTGCGTTGCATATTTTAAACTTCTCTCTAGTTGTGTGTGTGAGAGATTACTTTTTCAAAATTATCATCATGACTTCTAGAAGGTTGAGATTTGTCTCTAGTCCTCTTTTTGATCCATTCACCTCCAAACAACAAGAAGAAAGATTCCTCCCAGAATTTTCTAACAGCCATCTTGAGAATTCTCACCTTGGATTCAGAAGATATTAAAGAATGTGAATTATCAAGGCTTTTGAAGAGCTAAATGTGTCTACCTTCCTCTGCAGTACCTCAAGAAAGGTGTATCCTTCACCGGTTAAGATGTTCTACTCAAATTCTTACTCCACTGGTGGAATAGTTTATTCAGATGTAAAAAGACATAATATCTCTATCATTGAAAGAATTTGCAAACATCATGGATATTCCTCATGAAGATGTTATCCTTGAACCAGGAGATAAAGGCTAATATTTCAACCATAAGAGTGTTGCATCCTCACTATTGAAAATCCATCATCTTTAATACCAAATCCATTCACTGTAGGGTACATTCTTCCCAAAAGTTGTATGACCCATTATGTGACCAATCATACAACTTAATGGGTCACGTAACTCACTTTGATGTTAAGGCTGTATGGATAATTGAAAACAAAATCAAGACAAACTGGCCATATAAAGAAGTCTAATACATGATGGGAAGCAAGAAAAATGGAATTTGCCTACCATATGGTAATCTGATCACAAAAATTCTAGAACACAAGAGATTCTAATTTGTAGAAGAAGAGTTTGTAGAAGATGTAACAAAGATATGATAAGCAGTTTTAGCAATGATGAGATTTAAGATCATTGATAGAAATGTAATTAAAAATCCATTCAATAAAAAAAAAAGGAAAATAAATGATCAAGAAACACATGTAGATCTGGAATACTTTGACTATATTATCCCTCACTTGACTTCCATCGAAGACCTACTCAAGACCATAATTATGAAGCTGGATAAGACAAACAAAAAATCGACTTAATAACTTACCACTTTATTCCAGACCCGACATAACTACCTAAAGACTTCTTCATATATGATGATTTTGATGAAGTGTAATCTCACTTATGTGTCTTATTTTTTAAGTTTGCTAGCTTGTTTTCAATATTATTTTTAATTTTTGAAAATTTTCACTTTTTGTACTTCAATTCTAGTACGATTTAAATTAATAAGGTGCAATGCTTTTTC